CTGGTACTCCCTCACGCATCCAGCTCCTCTGGAGCTGGATGCCATGCTGCAGACGTGGCCGAGGCTGCGTCTGTACTCATTTCCCCCGATCGCTCTGCTCCCAGGGGTGATCAGCTTACTACTAGTAGCCCCGTACTGGCTGGCCCGAGTGTGGTTTTCGCACATCATGGTTCTTCTAGCAGGCCCTCTGTGGCAAATTCCGATCAGGAGGGACCTTCTTTCTCAGGCCGAGGGCACAATATTTCACCCTCGTCCAGAGCTATGGAAGCTGTGGGTCTGGCCCCTGAGGGGGACCAACTCGTAAATGCGGGTTTCAACTGAGGTTGTCGAGACCATTCTAAACTCTAGAGCCGCCTCCACGAGGAAACTATATTCATTAAAGTGGAATGTTTTTACTTTATGGTGCAGAGAACATCAGGTGGACACAGTTAACTGCCCAGTGGCTTCAGTGCTGGAATTCCTCCAGAGTTGCTTCTCTGACGGGCTCTCCCCGTCCACGCTAAAGGTCTATGTGGCGGCCATAGCTGCCTTCCACACACCTTTAGGGGTGGGCACCTTGGGGAGACACCCACTTATTGTACGTTTCCTTCGTGGAGCTAGGAGGGTGAGGCCTGTCATCCAGTCCAGGGTCCCTACGTGGGACCTGGCTGTGGTTCTTGAGGGGTTATCCCTGGCACCCTTTGAACCTTTGGATGAGGTGGCTGAGAAATGTATGTCTTTCAAGGTAGCGTTCCTACTCGCCATCACGTCCCTGAAAAGAGTCGGGGACCTGCAGGCTTTATCTGTCGCTCCTTCCTGCCTTGAGTTCGCTCCTGGCAAAGTAAAGGCCATTCTCCAACCTAGACCTGGCTATGTGCCTAAGGTGCCGTCAAATGTGGCACAGTCTATAATCCTCCAGGCCTTCAATCCTCCACCGCATGTGTCGGATGAGCAAGCTAGATTACATTTACTGTGCCCGATCCGAGCCCTGGAGATCTATGTGCAAAGAACCTCGGGCTGGAGGAAGTCGAACCAACTTCTCGTGTGCTTTGGGTCTCCAAAGAGGGGTTTTCCTGTTTCAAAACAAACTATAAGCAGATGGTTAGTGGAAACAATTTCTTCAGCTTACGAGGTGCGCGATTTGCCTTCACCTCTTGCGTTAAGAGCCCACTCTACTAGGGGAGTGGCTTCCTCTAAAGCCCTGCTAGCAGGAGTTTCCCTTCAAGAGGTCTGTGATGCCGCAGGCTGGGCTTCCCCTCACACTTTTATAAAACACTACAGTTTGGATCTGCCCTCTACACACCGGGTTCACAGGTTCTCTCGTCTTGAGTGTGCCAGTTTGCTTCACATCAGGGCGTATTCTCTCAGTGTGGCGCAGTGGGCATTTCGTTCTCCAATGCGTCGATTCTCGACGCAGCGCGAATTCCCTTGAAAGGGAACGTCTCGGGTTACGACTGTAACCCTCAGGGAACGAGACGGTGCGTCCCTCGGCCACACTTTTCGCGCTCCTGAGAACGACTTGCTTCGAACAATCAGAAGCTGACGCTGCTATGTTCCGGTGTCCTTTTATAGCTTCCGCTCACCGTCACATGCGACGTCACGGCTGACGTCATGACGCAACACCAATCAAGATTGGACTAGTTCCATACAGGCTTCAGACGCGTCACGCTGAAGGCGTTCCCCAATGTGTCGCTTCTCTACGCAGCGTCTCTTTCCCTTCTCAGGGAACGAGGGTTACAGTCGTAACCCCAGACGTTTTTTGAGTTAAATTTCAAACAGGCTTCTTTTGTAATAACATGAACTCACGGTTAAAGCTCCACCCACATCAAGATTTATTTGAATACAAATACAAATAATTTTGAGATTTATACAGATACAGATATTGTCTCCGAGGCACACCCCTTGATCAATACTCGAACTAAATCATATTTAACTCCAGGAGAGGAAGCCATTAGCTACATATAAAAAGTAAACAGGTTTTCTTGCATGAGGAAGAGTTAAACTACAAATCATGGCTCCAAAATATTGTATTGCCCACCCAATCAGAAATTAAGTGAAGTCAGCAACATCATATCATTTTGATCTCCTAGTGTCACGCTTGCCATAGCTGGCAGGACCCGGGCCTGCTGCAAAAAAAGGTTTATTCAAAACCTGCCAACATGAATAAGCAAATCTATAGCGGTATTCCTAACCTTCTCAGCCTGGATAGACCTTTTGCTTATCAATGAAGTCTAGACAGTGTGATGCAAAATCAATATTATGTATGTAATAAAAGCTGACATTCAGTTCATTTTTAGTTGTCAACACAGTCATTTTCAAAGCATATCAAAGGTGAAATGTGGATGAAAACCATTAAACGGTTAACGGTGTGGGCTAACCCATGATGGGTTAGCAAGGACAGACATATTTGTTAACGTGTTTAACTGACAGCTCTAAAATATATAGTGGCACTTTAAGTTTAGATAAGAACTCCAGTAATATGTTTCCAAATACTGCACTTTAATTTCAAGTGAAAAAGTGTATCCTCACTCTCAGGGAATAGAAGCATTGTTGATACTGTTTTTGTGTTAAGGTTGAACTTATGTTTCACTTTATGATTATGGCCTTTTCTATTGCTATAGCCTAATTATAGGCAATTATGTTTCATGTATTTTGACTTATTTAAAAGACAGAGTTTTAAGAGTTCCTCTCTTTTTCTTTTAAAATATACAATTTTTGTAAGAGCTACACTAAAGTTGGTAGTTTGATAAATGCAAGTTAATTTTTAATCTTGGGAACCGTGGGTTTTGTGAACCGTGCCACCCCTAATATATATATATATATATATATATATATAACGTGTTTAACTGACAGCCCTAAAATATATATATATATTAGGGGTGGCACGGTTCACAAAACCCATGGTTCGGTTTGTATCACGGTTTTAGGGTCACTGTTTTCGGTTCTGTACGGTTCTTGTTGTTATTTTTTCTTTTAATCTTTAACACTCCAGAAATGTACTTCAGCATATGATATATAGCTTAATAATCCACAATTTAGGATACAGTATTAACAAAAATGTTATATCATGCAATCATGCACAAACTGAATTTGACTTGACTTTAAGGACATTATTGGGACCATCTCCGAGGAAAGCTAGGTGAGATTTTGATACAGCAAGAGAGAAGACATTGATGACATGCTTGTAGAATGTGTATCGCTATCTCTACTGGAACTTATGTGCATTTTTAGCACACAAAGATTAAAAATTAACTTGCATTTATCAAACTACCAACTTAAGTGTAGCTCTTACAAAAATTTTATCTTTTAAAAGAAAAAGAGAGGAACTCTTAAAACTCTGTCTTTTAAATAAGTCAAAATACATGAAACATAATTGCCTATAATTAGGCTATAGCAATAGAAAAGGCCATAATCATAAAGTGAAACATAAGATTTCAACCTCAACACAAAAACAGTATCAACAATGGTTCTATTCCCTGAGAGTGAGGATACACTTTTTCACTTGAAATTAAAGTGCAGTATTTGGAAACATATGACTGGAGTTCTTATCTAAACTTAAAGTGCCACTGTAGCTGCTATATATTTAAATATCATAACATGAAATCCAAAATGTTCCCACACACCGGACTTATACGACGCTGGCGCATCCTCCAACTCCGGTTATCTCTCCCACTTGCCACTTCTCCGCGTGACGTGTCCTGCAGCACTCCATACTCCGCTTTTACTGGCTTGTTCGACTTGAACCGGCGCTGAACTGTGCGATCGGTTTATGACATCAAAGTACCGCGAGAGTGATTGAAAAGCATGCGGAGCCGTCGCTCTCGCGGTACTTTGATGTCATTCGCCGATCGCTCTGTGCAGCGCCTGTTCAAGTCGAACAAGCCTCATATGTATGTCCACAACCGTCTTATTTCGCGCGAAAAGGAAACATACGTCTGAGGTCACATACGGGCACAAGGCTACATTGCGCATGCGTCGAACCGTGAGACACACACACGCTCCGAACCGAGACAAGCGAACCGAACGGTTCGGATGTTTTTTCATGTACCGTGCCACCCCTAATATATATATATATTTTAGGGCTGCCCGTTAAACGCGTTATTAACGGCGTTAACGCAAACCCAATTTAACGGCGTACATTTTTTTATCGTGCGATTAACGCTCTTTTTGGCCTAGCAAACTTTGTAGTTTTTTCACATGCTTTTGCAACAGGGCGCGGCATGCGCCGTGCGAGGACGTTTTGTTGCTTCGTCGACCAAAGCACAAGCGGATCTAGCTAGACCAGAAAACAAAACAACAGGCACGCCGCCGCACACACTTGTTTGGGTCTGCGCGAGCCGGCCAAATAGTAGATTAACGTTACGTTTTGAGTGGATGACGAGCGCGAGACGCCGAAATGGATGCCAATAAGATTCTGAATGGAAAGTTTACTTTTAAAAAGTTGCCAAATGGTTCCATTGACAAGACCAAAGTGATCTGTGTGTTTTGTCGTTGTAAACTGAGCTATCATCATCGCAGCGCGTCCAGTCTGAAATACCACTTGATGATGGCCAAGCACACACACACACACACACACACACACACAGCTGATGCGAATTCTCCGCCCCCTCGTCAATATCAGGACCTCGTCAGTATTTCTTTCACCCTTTTATTGATGAGAGATAATTTGCTCCAAGTGAGAATGTTAGTGTGAAATTGAACACAGTATATGTCAATATTGTTTTCAATAAAAAACATTTCCACAAAGCAAGCCGATCCACTTTTCCATGTTGATAAGAGCATTAAAATGATAAAAAAATAATGGGACAAAAAGAAATCAAGAGACATTTAGAATAAATAAAAATGTGCGATTAATTGCGATTAATCGCGAGTTAACTATGACACTAATGCGATTAATCGCGATTAAATATTTTAATCGTTTGACAGCACTAATATACATATACGTACATATATTTAAACCAGTTGTTTGAAGTTCTTGCTTTTCGTCTTTTGGTTTACTTTCCTTTTTCTTTCTCTTTCAGGGAAGTGTGAGCACTGTTAGAAACAATGGAGAAGGGTGACTGAAGACAATGACCATAAACTAACGGATGGACGGAGGAATGAGAGAAACGATAAGGGTCAGCTGCTGAAGATTTAACTGTGATTGTCCTGAGAGGGCTCAATGTTAATCTTCTTCACCTTTGCCCCTTCCCTCTCTGTCGGCCCGAATAGCATGTATTGACCTCTCATTGCTCTGGCATGAAACTATCTGACTACAGAATGATTTTCCTACTCTCTAAAGACATTCAAGTTGCAATAGCACTTGTTGGTACTCTTGTTATGACATTCTTCCTTCACACATCCATCACAACACAAAAAAACTCAGCAGACACTCACAGTAATGTGCAGGTAAAGCATTCCAAGGTGGAATACAAGCAGCAAATACAAGCCTTATAGCAGCCATATTACTTTTACCTTGAAAAGAAGCATCAGGCAATACTAAATTGAATCAAGGCCATCCTTTGATATAACAGCTTGAGTCCATTCATCGAAGGCTGTCATACAGGTCCAGAACTTCCAAATAGTGTACCATTCTACAAGAAACAATCTTTGGATCTGTTGGTTGAGAACTCACAGACAATTGTTTGAACTGGTGCATTATAATCTTTGAGCATTAAAACATCATGAAGGATGCACGTGATTTATTCATTCATGTATTTTTATTTTCATAGGTTACACATGGTCTTGTGAATGGCTCATGTTATTCGTCCCTTGTATGACTCTCCAGACAATCATTGGACCTAGCCAAACCATTACACATCCCCGTGCTGATACATACATTATGGTTAATAAGACACATTATGGATTGGATTTTAGGTTGTGATATTTTACTTTTTAGAATTAAGCAACTACTCTGTCTGGTGTCAGTTTTGTCCATCTATGCCTAGGGGAATTTTCGGTTGCATTTTATTTTACAGTATATGCACTTACTATACAGTGTACTTAAGAAAGTAATGAATAAAATAAGGTAACTACATGGGTTAGAGTTATGTTTAGGGGTAGGTTTTGGTTATGTAACTAGTTATCACACAGTTATTTCAATTTCTAAAATAATAACAACATGTATTATGTAACATGTAATATTTCACATGTGCATGTGAAACGGTACCGTAAAATAAAGTGCTGGATTTTCCTCTTGGCACGTTGAATAAATGTGCAGTTTGTGCAACTGATGCACCTGCAATTTGGGTACTAACTAATTAGCCTTCTTCATCAGCGATATATTTATTGCAGCCTAATATGACTAATCTTTACAACAGCATTACGAGTTAAGATGATTTATTTATTGTGGCTATGGTCCACCTTCTCTACAAAAGTCTTTCTAGACACTGGAGTCCACCTAGATCAAAGAATGTGTGCTACTTTCTGACTGTAGCTATTATCTTGAATATTTTTTTCCCTCTCTTTTTGCTTCGTTGAATGAAGTTTTCGATAAAGGCAGCACTCCTTGGGGACCAGCTATGACTATGTACAGTATGTCTCAAATGTTTTGTTTTATTCATACATTTAAAAAAAACACACAGATATGTTCTCACTGCTACAGAAACGCCCTTTTCAAGGGTAGATTCACATTGATAAATTGTTGTTCTCGTACAAGGTGCTATAATAACTGAAGATGATTTATTTGTTGGCCTTCACCAAAGCACATTGTAAAATGTATGTTTAAATAGATCATCACCCAAATCTGCATTGGAAGAAACTAACATCTAAAGCGGGTTTCCTGGCAACAGTCCATCTGCAATGAAATGAGTTCATTTATGTGTGTGTTTTTTTAGAACACATTTTATTTCATTTTAAGTCATGGCTTTAAATTATGTTCAATTCTTATTATAATGGTATACTGACTGCCATTTTTTTATGGGGACCCACCCATAAAAATGTTCCCTGTTTAATGTACATGTGTAACTATGGATAATTTATAATATACATAATCATACTGTTTTGTTGTTATGACTGCATGGCCTCTCATGTAAACACACTGATTAGCAGGTTCTCTGACCTGCTTATATTTTATTTGTAAAGAATCATAAGAGGGTGTGTGTGTGTGTGTGTGTGTGTGTGCAGATCTGGCTATACTTGGGCCAAATGTCATTAATTATATAGTGAAATATTATGACAACCGACCAGTAAAGGACCAGTAAAATGTCCTCACTGGTTAAAAAGGTTTATAAACCGGCCAAAACGTGTTTTTATTTAAATCTAGTGTTTTGCATGTTTCTGTGATGGGTATGTTTACGGGTAAAGGTCTGTTGGGTTAAGCGATAGAAAATATCAATAACTTGATATAAAATCAATGGAAGTCTATGCAATGTCCTCACTAATATAGTGAAACAAATGTGTGTGTGTGTGTGTGTGTGTGTGTGTGTGTGTGTGTGTGTGTGTGTGTGTGTGTGTGTGTGTGTGTGTGTGTGTGTGTGTGTGTGTGTGTGTGTGTGTGTGTGTGTGTGTGTGTGTGTGTGTGTGTGTGTGTGTGTGTGTGTGTGTGTGTTCCAGGCCATAAAATAAACATTTAATGTAAATTCGAAGTTAATTTTTTTACTCAATTCTTCCAATAATTGAAAAATTGGCTTCAACCATTCACTCTACAAAAAATAAGTGAGACATATCTTCAGACACAAAATGGCTCCATGTATTATGCGCCATTGGAGGTCACCAGTTCTCTAATTAATAAGGAGTTTAAGTCATCTTGATACCTTAAGGGGATCCATCAAATCCCATTAATCCTTGCCATTTAAAGTCTGAAACACATTTTAATGATTCAAAATGCATCACTTTTAAACAGGTATAATACAGTTCTCTCTTTCAAGTATTACATTACAAATTAAGTTCTAGAGTTTTACAACTTTTCTTCATCCTTCAGCCATGTCTCCACAGCTGCCTTTACCCCTAAACTTGGAAACTCAATCATCTAATTAATACAATGTTGTTTTGTTTCCTCCTCCTCCACTAACAACAACATTGATGGTATTACAGAAAGAAGTTCAGTCCAAAATCTTTCTACAACACAGGGTGAATTAATACCAACCATTCACCCCTACTTATTAAGAGATGAGAGACTTTTACAAACTGGGCTTTCACCAAAGCAGCCTGCATTGAAGGAGAGTTCAAGATTTTCATAGGTAATGCATGATTATAAAGAGGTTCCTCTATGATCCATGATCCACTTACAATACCTTGTTCTCAAACAATTCTTCAAACATTCCTTGATTTTAGAACTGTCTTATAAAAAGGTGTTAATTCGACTAGTTCCACATCATTTAAATTAATTAAAACCAATTGCAATCTAGTCCCAGTCATCCTCCTCTCCTCAAAAGACCACAAGTCACATGAGCCCAACACATTCATCCTTCGATGCAAAAGCCTCCGAGCAGCTTGTAGCCTAAAAGCAGCAATCCTCCATCCTATATCAATTAATCCTTGAAGAGGCAGGTAAAGTACTGCTGTCAATGTCAATGCTGACCTACAGGGGCAGATTAAGGTTTAAGCGGGCCCCTAGGCTCAGGAAATTCTAGAGGCCCACCCCAACCACCATTAGGGGCATACATATTAACAAAAGAAAATGATATATTTCAGCTTTTACTAAAAGTAATCTCCCAGGTTTTTCATGATATATAGATACGATTTTTGCTTTCAAAGTTAAAACAAACAAGATAGCAACTCCTGCACTAACATAAGAGCCATTACATAAAACATATGCTCCCTTCCAGCACAATCCCCATTCAAACTCATTGCTCATATTCGTCACGTCGGAGACGTAGTCGACGTGTCGGCTAATTGGGATCACGCTTAGGGAGCCTGTCATCTTCGAGTATCGATAAAACGAGCCAATTCACGTGCGTGCTTTGCATTTATATTTTATATTTTTATACTTTTGCGTATTTATACCCGCACGGGTATACATACAGAAGTGGATGCAGGCACCATTTGTCTTTTGCTTCGGAGCCGACCGGTTTTCATGTCATGTCTCTGTCTCTGAAGAGTGTTGAATATTGAAAATATTCGTCAAAAACAGCTCTGTTTTCAGCACGCCGTTTCAGTGCATATGACTTTAAATGATAATGAGCTTTGCTCACCCCGCCTCTCTGTTCTGTGTGTACACCGTTTGTAACACAATAACACAATAACCATAACCGTTGTTCATTATAAACGTGGGATTATGAATTATATTGAGAACATCGTACATAGAAAACATGCCGTAATGTACCCTGAGTGTTAACCTTAGACGCATTTATAGTGAAGCGTGCAAGCGATTTGCAAAGATTAATATAAATATTAATGTAAAGGTTAATAAAAGTTACACTCACTTCAGTTCTTCTGGAGGTTCAGCAGGAACGCGAATAGTTGGTACCGATCCTTTATTCATGAGCAGCTTCTTAGCAAAACCAGCTCATACTGATCCTCGTTTATAAAGCAGTCTGGTGTGAGAAATGATTCGCGCAAACATGAGAGCATTGACGTTGCTCGTGGGGAATATTCCCTTCGAAAACAAACACAGCCACTGCGTCTTCAGCAGTGGCTGTGTTTTGTCTAAACCCACGTGATGGGTAGGTTTAGGGGCGGGGTCAGGGGTATGTCATTCGTACGAATTCATACGAATTCGGCAACTCGTCAAATATGTACGATTTAGCAAAAATCTTACTAATTCATACAAGTGAGGTCGTACGAATTGTAACGAATTAGCCATCTTTTAATCACTCGTCAAATTCGGACGAATTGGTCGTGAGATCGGGTTGAGCGCCTCATATGAGGTGTTTCTTGGTATTTCTCCCTCACATCTGCTTCAAGGTCTTGATTGTGGCATTTCTTTGCAGTTTAGAATCCAGTATTTCCAGTATAAAATTCTGTAATTCTTTTGTCTTTTATGAGTTTATTAAAGAACTTTGTCTCGTCTTCTGTCCTAACATACAGCGCCTTCTTTAAAGAATGATCGACTTTTACGTACGCCAGGTGACCTGTAAATGCGCAAACAACTGTTTCCATTGCAGTTTTGC